TCACTCACCTATGCCAAGAAATGTGAAAGACAGTTCCTGCCAACCAATTGAACAGTATCAATATTTATGCCCATCCCAAATAGTGGTAATCCAAATTTATGTGTAAGTTATCAAATAATATCACATGCAAGCAATTTTTCCTCCCAACATAATCACCTAGCTTTTCTTTTCTAAAGAGTTTTCATTGTGACCTGAATGATAGTTTACATGTAAGAATATCAATTTTACATAGCAATGACTGCATGCTTTCATTGCAATGATTACAATCTCCTCCATGCAATATTTACTTCCATTCCCTCTGTTTTTCTTTTTTCTTTTGAGGGGGAAGGGGATTGATACAAAAACACTCAGGAATATATAATCATATAACAGACCAAAGGTCACACTCTGCAAGCCTGCCGCCTGGCCTCCAGTACTCAGTTTCTCTTTCCATGAGTCTAGAGTCCTCAGCTGCTCCCTCTCTCCATGTCCTCCTCTCTGTCTCATCCTGGTTTTACTGCTGCTCTGGATAGGGTCCCACATTCCTTGTGCTCTTCTCCCTTGAGTGTCTTATGGTCTTACGTTTCTGGACTGTAAGGTTAACTACTCCCCCATTTTTGTTACAAACTTCTACATTTACTCTTGTGACAGTCACAATTAGTCATGAAAACAATTACTCACTATCGAATCATGAGAATATTCTCCACATCTGTTTTCACCAGACCCCTCTAGACAAGATGAAAACTATTCAGTGGGGCATCTACCTTCCCCCACACACTTTGAAACTAAACTCCTTCTTGAAAACTTGTAAGCTAATCAGTTTGTGCCTTTATCACCCCCTCATTTAAGTTAGCTGATGCCTCAATTGCCTGTTCCTACTACCTCATTTGAGAAACTGGATTATTTAAAGAAGAATGTAGGAAAAAGATAAGCGCAAGATTCTTTAACAATCTCTATTATGTTGATGATGTTGTTGCTAAGTTCTGTCGAGTTGATTCTGACCCACAGCAACCCTGTATAGGGTTTCCAAGGACTAGCTGGTGAGCTTGAACCACAGGAATTGCAGTCTGACTCAATAGCCCACAGCACCACAACCTGCTAATTGAGATTGAAGTGGATGTAAAATACTTACTGATGAAGATCAAAGGCCACAAACTTCAATATGGATTGCACGTCAGTGTAAAGAAAACAAAAACCAGGACTAATAAATAACATCACTATATATGAAGGCAGGCTTGAATTTATGAAATACTTCATTTTGCTTCGATCTAAAATCAGCACTCATGGAAGCAGCAGCCAAAATATCAAGTGATGTATTATTGCTGTTCTTAGGTGGCATCAAGTCTGTACCAACTGATAGCAACCTTATACACAAGAGAGCAAAACACAGTCTGGTACTGTGCCAACCTCACAACCCTTAATGCCCTACGTCATTGCTGCCACAACTCTGCTGATCGAACTCGTCTGAGGTCTTCCTCTTTTTTTTCTGACTCTTCATGTTAGCAAACATCCTTCTCTAGGGACTAGTCCTTCTTTATACTATAGCCTAAGTATGAGAGAAATCTGGGCTTAAAGGCTTTCAAAGAGCATTCTGGCCGTAATTCGCTTAACTCAATAGTGTTTGTTCTTTTGGAAGACCATGGTACTTTTATTATTCTCCTCCAACACCATAACTCAAGTGCATCAATTCTTCTTGGATCTTTCTTATTGACTGTCCAACTTTCATATGTATATGAAACCATTGAAAATATCATGGCTTAGGTCACACACACTTTCGTCCTCAAATGGACATATTTGATCTTGAACACTTAAACAAGGTCTTGTGCAACAGATTTGTCCAATGCAAAATATTATTTAATTTCTTGATGGCTGCATTCATTAATGTTGATGGTTCATCCAAACAAAATAAAGTATTTGACAACTTCAAACTTTTCTCTATTTATTTGGATGTTGTTTATTGATCCAATGCTAGGAATTATGTTTACTTTACATTGAAGTTCAGCTCATATCAAAAACTATGGTCTATGATTTACATCAGTGAGTATTTTAAGTCCTCTTCACTTTCAGCAAGTGAGCTTATATCAGCTGCATACTGCAGGTTGTTATTGAGTCTTTTTCCAATTCTGATGCCACCGTTTTCTTCATGTTATCTACTTTTTGATTATGTCCTCAGCATACAGAATGAATAAAAATGGTGAAAGAATCAACTCGGGAATGCACCTTTCCTAATTTTAAACCATTTGGTTTAAATTGTTCTGTTTGAACAACTGCCAATTGGTCTATGTACAGGTTCCTCTTGGGCAAATTAATGTTCCATAATACTCACTCTTCTCAATGCTGTCCATTGCTTGTCATGATGTGCACAATCCACAGACTTACTGTAATCAATAAAGCACAGGAAAACACCTTTCTGATTTACCCTGTTTTCACATCAGCAATGATATCCCTCATTCCATGTCATCTTTTGATTCTGGCCAGAACATCTGGAAGTTCTCTCTTAAAGTATGGTTGCAGCCATTTTAATATTCTCTTGAGTAAAATTCTACTTGCATTCAATAATAATGATACTGCCTAATGATTTCTGCATTCCATTGAGTCACCTGTTTTTGGAATGAGCACAAATACAGAACTTTTCCAGACAGTTGGCCAGGTAGTAGTCTTCCTAATTTCTTGGCATAGATGAGTGAGTGTCTCCAGTGCAACCTCACTTTGTTGAAATATTTCAATTTGCATTCCATCAGTTTCTGGTGCCTTCAATGCCTTCAATGCACCTTTGATTTCTTCCTTAAGGTTGCTTGTTGGCTCTTGATCATATGCTGCCTCTTGAAATGGTTGAATGTTTGATATCTTATATTAGGCAAATCTGCTGCAGAAAACCTCTTTAATAAAGTATTGAAGAGCAAAAACATCGGTTTGAGGATTAAGGTACATCTGAGTCAATCCATGATCTTTTCATTCACCTCATTTACGTGGCAAAGTTGCACAATGAGTAAAGAAGACCTATGAAGAATTGATTCATTTGAGTTACAGTGTTGGAGAAGAATATTAAAAGTACCATGGATTGTCCAAACAAACAAACAACAACCAAGTAAATTTGTGTTAGAAAAAGTACACTCAGAATTCTCTTTAGAAGGCAGATTGCCCAGATTTTGTCGCTCATATTTTGGACATACGACAAGAAGGGACCAGTCCATGGAGAAGGATATCATGGTTGGTAAAGTGGAAGGTTGGAGATAAAGAGGAAAACACCCAGAGAGATCAATTCTCATAACGGCAGCAATAATGGACTCAAATGTGACAACATTAGTAAGGATGGCCCAACACAGGGCAATGATTTGTTCTGTTGTGCATTGGGTCACAATGTGTTGGGAGCCACTCAAGGGTAACTAATAACAACAACAGAAAATGCAAAACAAAGCCACCACAATAAGGAATGGGGATATAGGTGTAAGGAAAATTTCAACACTAACTGGATGTAGTAGCCTCTGTTGTTGCTGTTATGTGTCGTGGAGTCGGTTCAGACTCATAGTGACCCTGTACAGGGTTTCTGAGGCCGTAAATCTTTACGGGAGCAGAAAGCCTCATCTTTCTCCCCTGCAACCGCTGGTAGTTTCAAACTGCTGACCTTGCGGTTATAGGTATAAGGAAAATTTCAACACTAACTAGATGTAGTAGCCTTTAGTGATCCTTATCAGTAGAACCTAATCATAAAGCCAGATGGGAAATCAGTGGTTTATAAACCCTCTTCTCTCTTATCCCTCACCAAGAAGTAAAGTATAGAAGAATAAGTTAGATGTGAGAACACAATAGATTATCAATAAGCATCTATGGTCAACTCTATGCTGTGCAGAATGGAGGCAGTGGTTGGTCGTTCATTGATAGTATCTTCCTCTTCCATGTGTAATCAAAGGTTTGATTCCCAACCAATGTGTTTATGTGAAAAACCACCTGTTATTAGAGATGTGTATTTGTGTGTGTGACAATAATCTTAAATCAGTTTCAGTTGAGATAACAGACTAAGATGAGCTGGTAAGAAAGGCCTGACAAACTCTTTGCAAAAATCAACCAATGAAAACACGTTGGAACACAATCATTTGTGGTCTGATCCACAATTGGTAATGGGTTTATTAGTCTACTGGGTAGCATTTTCTTCTGATGAGCCATGGGTTCACCAGGTTTCACGGAACCAACCCAAGAGCAGTTAGCAGTGTGTGATGTACATGGAGAAGGTATAAAAAGAAATGTCATTGCGAGTATTGTGTCAAACAACTTGACTGTTGTTAGATCAAGAACTAATGAGTTCTGATTACTTTGACATCCTCAGCAGCTATTTATGAAGGAAAACTCTTAGAAGATGACTAGCTTTCCACTTGGCTGCACATAAACTCATATGCTTTTTTGTTAAGTGCCATTGAGTCAGTTCCGACTCATAGAGACCCTGTATAGACAGGGTTTCTGAGGGGCAACTGGTGAATTTGAAACACTGACCTTTAGGTTACCAGTCCAGTACTTATTGTACAACACCACAAAAAACACCCTTGGTACTGTAAAACTTGTGTACTCACATCACAGGCTGTTCCAATTAAATCAGATACTTTAGTGATGGGACCAAAGTATGCCAAATGCATCCAGTAGGAATCAAGGTTTGAAATCAGTGAAATTCATTCTCAGATGTAAACTTTATATAAAGTATTGTTATATGCAAAAATAGTCTGGGTAATAATAAATGATGATGATTCTAAGTACATGAAATTAGAGTTGCATAATTTACTAGGAAGCCTGGATTATGGGTAAGAAGCATCAGGAGACTTCAAAACTCTATTGGGAATTGGTCATGCAGATGAACATATCTTTAAAATGATCCCATTACTGTAAAAAATGTGACAAAGAAAGTAATGTTCATAATTACATATTAAATTCTATAAGATCCTCAAAAAGAGCAGTAAGATTACTGTTTTCAGATGTCTGCACATACCATATTTACAAATCAATACACCCTAAAAATGGTGTAAAGGTTAAGATTAGGCTGCTCTGCTGAGGAGCCTCTGTAGGGCTGTCTTTATGTCCCTGTTCCTCAGGCTGTAGATGAAGGGGTTCAGCATGGGAGTGACAATGGTGTACATTACAGAGGCCACTGCATTCATTCTGGAAGAAGATGTGACAACTGAACTGAGGTACACTCCGAATCCTGTTCCATAAAATAAGAAAACAACTGACAAGTGAGAGCCACAGGTAGAAAAGGCTTTAAACTTTCCACCTGAAGATGAAATTCTCAGAATGGAGGAAACAATTTGAGTGTAGGAGAAAATAGTCCCTGAGACTGGAATGCCACCAAAGATGGCCGCAATACAATATACTAATATGGTACTGGTAGAGGTGTCAGAACAAGCCAGGTTAATGACTTGAGGAGGGTCACAGAAGAAATGAGGGATTTCTACAGTTGTACAAAAGGTAAGCTCTGATAACGTTGAAACGTTCAACTGGGAGTCCAAAAGGCTGATGCAATATGATAGAAAAATTAGCAATCCACAGAGGCAGGGGTTCATGATGGTTGTGTAGTGCAGGGGGTGACAAATGGCCACAAACCTGTCATAAGCCATCACAGTCAAGAGAATATTGTCCAGGCATCCAAAGAGATAAAAAAACGACACTTGTGTCAAGCAGCCCTTATAGGTGATGGTTTTACTCTGTGACTGGATGTTGACCAGCATGTTTGGGACTGTGGTGGAGATGAAACCAAAGTCAGCTAGGGATAGATTGGAGAGGAAGAAGTACATGGGGGTGTGGAGGTGTGGGTCAGAGCTAACAGCTAGGATGATGAGCAAGTTCCCAGTCACTGCGATCAGGTACATGGACAGGAATAATCCAAAGAGAAAGGGTTGCAGTTCTGGATCATCAGAAAGGCCCAGAAGGAGGAATTCAGAGACATTTGTTAGATTCTGTGGCTCCATGTATGTGAGACAGCTTTTGAAAAAAAGAAAAGGAGGTTGTTAAAAGGAAATAAGTTAATAGGCATCCATAACTGAGTCTATATTTTGAATTCAAGAATTTGTCAGTGTACAAATTTGCAAGTTGCAAGAATAATTTCTTTTTTCTTTTTCATGAATAAATTATTTTAGAAAGATCAGCATGAGGTTAGTTTCTATGTTTTGTTATGTGCTAAGAAGTCATTTCAACTCATATCAACACTTTTACATGTACATGATGTGATTGAAAATGCCTTGATGTGCGTCAGGCATAACTTAACTCTGAAACTGATCTCTTAGTTCTTTAACACTTTATTTAAGATATCTTTGCAGCAGATTTGCGTATTGTAAAAAATCATTTGCTTTCTTGACTGCTGCTTCCATGAGTGTTGATTATTCAATCCTTTCTCCATTTAGCATGATGTTATTTATTGGTCCTGTTTTTGTATTCTTTAAACTGAAGTGCAATCCAGACTGAAGGCTGTGGTCTTTTATAATCACTACTATGCATTTTAAGTCCTTATTTCTTCCTTATGAGAGAAGGTTAAAACTATCCCACATCCAACTTTTCTAACATGTTTACCACTCCATAACCATTGATATCCATCACCACTCATCCCCTCACTCATGTCCCAGGGTTCTTCAAAATGCTGGCTGCAACATTTCACAGAACTCATAATTGTCTGCAGAAATGGTTCACACTAGTGTGAAGTCAGCAAGTCCCAAATCTGTAGTTCACAGGTCAGAGAGCTTGTTTATACTTTTGTTTCCTTCACAGCATTCCTTATTTTTCTGACATACATCTTATATGGATACACATGGTCATTCAAATAAGTGTGTTGTTCTATGAAAAGCATGAATATAGGAGTAATTACAGCACATACATATATGTTTGTAGAAATAACATCTGCTACATTATATATGTTCAGGAATGTAGTCCTTTTTTCTAATATGACTATGCTTCCACTTGCAGATTAATATTTGCTGTAACAAACAGAAGGTTTAAGTATATAAGCTTTTTGTGTTTGTTAAGTGTCATCTAGTTGGTTCTGTTCTATATCTATCCATATAAAGTTTCTGAGGAGCGACTGGTGAGGTTGAACTGCTGAACTTGTGGTTCAAAGTGACTTTATAATCCAGTGCATTAATCTGCAGTGCTAAACTATAATCAAGCACCAGAAAAGAATGAGTTATTTAGTCCAGAGTATTATAGACATAGTTATGGGACATACCATGGTTAATTGGTATAACAATGTTCAGAAAGACAGTGTTCTACAATCTACTTGAGCGAGTAGTTGTTAGACTATTAAAAGGTTTTGAACAACCACCTAACATCTTTCTCCTTCTGGAGCAAAAAAAATTGAAGAAAATCAAACATGCATGGAAATGATCAGTCCAAAAGAAAATGTACCACATGAACCTGAGCTTTCTAGCTAACATTGCTGACTGCTATGAAAGGTATCACAATAGAGGATCATGGATAGAGTAGGAGACAAAATGTGGAACAAGACTCAAACTAGAAGCAGTAAACAGTCTTATTGATCTGACAGACATCGGTGGAACCCTAGAGACTATGGTCCTTGGTCACTCCTGAGGTCTAAAACTAAATTCACCCCAATAACTCAACTTTTAGTCAGAAAATGGACACCATATTGTTGTTGCTGCTACATGCCATCAAGTCAATACTGACTCATACTGATGCTATGCACAACAAAAGAAAACACTGCCCAGTCCTGCACCAACCTCACAGTTGCTGCTATGCTTGAGCCCATTGCAGATGTGTCTGTACAAATATATCTCGTTAGTGGTCTTCCTCTTGTTTCTTCACCCTCCACTTTACCAAACATAATAAAATTCTGCATGGACTGGTCCCTCATGATAATAGGTCCAAAGTAAGAGAGATGAATTCTGGCCATCCTGGCTTCTAAACAACATTTGGCTGTACTTCTCTCAACACAGATTTGTTTATTCTTTTGGAAACCCACCCTACTCTTCATATTCTCCTCCAACATCAGAACTCAAATGCATCAATTCTTCTTGGGTCCTCTTTAAAAACTGTCAAGCTTTGACATGCATGTGAATAAAATACCAAGGATTGTGTCAGGGGCATCTAAATTCTCAAACTGACATCTTTGCTCTTGAACACTAAAAAGAGGTCATTTGCATCAGATTTGTCTAATGAAATACCTCAATTTCTTTCTTGACCTCTGCTTCAGTGAGTGTTGATGGTTGATAGGGAAAACATGGAGTCTTTGACAGATGCATTTTTTTCTCCATTTATCTTGATATTATTTATTTGTCCAGTGATGAGGATTTTTTTATTTCTTAACAGAAATGCAACCCATAAAGAAGGCTGAGGTGTTTTTTGTTTGTTTGTTTGTTTTTTATCTTCATCAGTAAACAAGGTTGTATAATCTGCACATTAAAGGTCATTAATGAGTCTTCTTCCAATCCTGATGCCACATTCTTCATATACTACTGTTCAGTGCTCAGCAAACTGATTGAATAACTTTGGTGAAAGATTACAACGCTGACACACTAACTAATTTTAAATCATTTAGTGTCCCCCTGTTCTGTTCAAACAACTTCCTCTTGGTATATGTACAGGTTTCTCATTAAGACAATTAAGTGTTCTGGGAAACGCATTCTCCACAATGATGTCTATTGCTTATCATGATCCTCATGGTCACAAGACTTTGTGCAGTCAATAAAGCACATGTAAAATCTTTCTGGTATGCTCTGCTTTCAGTCAAAATCCATCTGATGTCAGCAATAATATCCCTTGTTTCATGTCATTGTCTGAATCTGGCTTGAACCTCTGTCAGTGAAGAATTGTCAAGTCAATTCTAATCCATAGTGAGCCTTTATAGGGTTTCCAAGGAGTGATTGGTGAGCTTGAACTGCTGACCTTTCTTTTCAAATGACTTTGCAATACAATGCATTAACTCACAGCACCACACCAGGACTCCATTTCATCTAATGACTAGGATATTGATGTTTATGCGTTTCATTGAATTTTTTACAAGTTCCAATTTTCCTAGATTTATACTTTTAAATCCCATAATTCTATTATTAATGGATGTTTATAGATGTTTCTCTTTACTTTGAGTGTTTCCTCCATCAATAAATGACTCCATTCATGTCATCATGGTCAACTAGCTATACTTTGAGGAGGCAGCTCTTCTTCAGTTGCATTCTGAGTGCCTTCCAGCTTGAGGGCCTCATCTTCTGGCACTATTGTTGTTGTTGTTGTTAAGTGCCATCGAGTCGGGTCCGACCCATAGCGACCCTGTACTATATGTGACTACATTCTGTTGTTCCTCATCATGTTTCAGTATTCAATATTCTGGTGCTCTCTGACAGTGTTCCATTGCTATTCATAAGGTTTTCAGTGACTAAATATTCAAAAGTAGTCCATCTCTTCTTTCTTGGACGTTTTCATCTGGCAGCTCAGCTGAAACCTGTCAACCATGGGTGACCCTGTTGGAATTTAAAGTACTGATGGCATAGCCTACAGAACCATAACAACATGCAAGCCACGACAGTACCAGTGGTGGAGACCACCTATAAGGTAAATAGTAATACCAGGTGTGTATGTACTCTTTAGAACAATCAACCTTAGGGAATTGAAAGGACAGCTTTTACCTAGGGATAAACCTCAGAAGCAGAAATGATGAGTAAATAATGAGCAATGAAAACTATTATACATAGGAAGGAAGTGGAAAGAACGTTGTTGCATTATGGGTACTACAGACAAAGTCATGAAACAAAATGTG